ATAGGAGAGCGTTGTTCACGCTTGTAATTCATCATCTATTATATATTCACGGCGTTATGCAGTGTTCTTCTTAATAAGTATACAAGATATTTTTCACGGGAATTAATAATAAATGAAATTTCAGCTAAAATAACAAGATCATTGTGTCTGTTACACATTTAATAAAAGAGCGACATTTTCCATTGAAGATAGGAAAATCTTCCGACAATTCCCGAGATTTTATTTAGTGGCTCGATACGTCTTTTTTTTAAATTAAATCAGTGCCACGATGAAATTGTTGTACATTTGCGAAGTGAATAATATGCAATACTGGAGATCCAAGTTGACAGTTGATTTGCACACGTATATGCAACCTCACGTTGCGAACGCGTATTCGGGGAATGGAATAGATCTTGTTTGCCTGCGTGTCAACGATACCTATTATTGTCGATCCTTATTTGCATGGTCAATAACGTGAGGAAATCTGCTGCCGCCCCTTTCCGCCCAGGAATTGCAGAGAGGATTTGTGTGCTATATTCGATGCCAAGAGGACCACCGTCGCATCGTACTAGGGGGCTTTTCAGGGGCGCACCGATAAATCAGGGGCTCACGACACAACTGTGGATCGCTGTCCCAGTTCGCAATAGAGCACGAATCTGCCTTGAGAGAGAAAGAGAGAGAGAGAGAGGAGAGAGACATCGATACAAAATTTCGTGGCACGCAATTCCGTTAACAGCGGAATGCAATTCTCGCGGCTTTCATTTCCTCCTTCATATGACGACCCACGCGAAATGCGATATCGCGGTCAAGAGCCTTGGTAAATTGAGTTTGAATTAACAATTATAGCTACCGTGCAAGTATGAGTACTATTATATATATTGTGGCAGGCGGAACGTTTCTTCCAAGATATCTAATGACAGACACGTTTATCAATGCGATATAATTGTTTCTAATTTAACAGAGACAGAAAGAAAAAGAGAATTTATACATGCATGTATGAATTTAATTTGCAATAAAACAGTGAATTTTTTACTATATATTGTATATTATATTTACATTATATTATTAGATCATCGTTTATTTTAAAATTATGCTCTGTGAAGAAAAAATGAACGTAATATATAATTCTTCTAATAATAATAATTTTTTTTTTTATTAAAAGAATTGTCTTAAATTGTTATTTGTACAAGAATAAGAGATTGTTAATGACAATCATAATACGAATACGAATTCTGTTTTAGTTCAAATAATTCTCTTTTAATTATTGCAATTAGATTAGCCGCTTTGTCATTTGGTATTTAATTACACTACAATTAAATCAACTTCTGTTAATGTCTTCCCTTGAAATTATCTTGATTTCTTTTGCTTTTAAAGCAACATTAACATTAAAATGATGGCGTGCGATTTATTATGTTTTATACTTGTTTATAATAAACTTCAAATTATTAGAAAAAAATAGCACACTTAAATGTTTGTATGATATTACATGAAAAAATATTTATAAAAATGTTAGTATTTATTTTACAAATTTAAATCTATAAATTTATATTATTTTAAATTTATACGTGTTAAACTTGTTATCGATTGACAAAAGTAAAACAGCATCTTATTACACTTTCCTCGTTTATATTAAAGTCTAACTTTACAATAAATTTAAATTTAGCAAGTTTCGACAAACATAATATTGATGAGTTATATACTATAGTTTATACGTGTCAACACTTACTACTTATCATATTGTACGGGTTGCAAATCATAAACAGATCATAGAGCGTATATAAGGTTTCTTATTTCATTTAAAAAAGAATTGCTAATAAGAATTGCTGAATCGATCGATAGCTTTTAGAGCTTTCTTCTATTTTACTTTCTTCTATTTTAAGCCATGGTATCTTCAGATATTAACTGTAAAATTTACTATTTAAGTCTAAGATATTTAATATTTGTATCTTAAGATTACATCGATATGTGGCGTATTGCAGTCATATATCCACAGAGATATATAACATGCAAAGGATTCTCGTATAATCGTTCTCCGTATTTCATTGTTTCTTATCGTGACATTCTAACTATGAAATACGTCACCCGGGAGAATCGCTCTTGCTCATCGTTCTCTCTCTTCGAGAATTATATAGGTATGCAAGGACGTTAATTACGTTTGTACCAACAAGATATAATTCACTGTGCAGAGACAAAATTTCATCATTCCGTTTAAACAGAGAAATTCTCATTATATTACTATACGATCACTAAAATACTTATTAATCATTCAAACGTAAAAAAGCAATTTTTCATTTCTACATTACGAAAGGAGGCGTAAAATGATGATATATACATATCGTAGATATGTTTAATATTATTAATGTTAACATTATTAACTAATTTCAACGATATTAATTTAATCTATTAAAACAAATTAGCTAAGATAGAAAATAGTTGTATTATACAAAATCTATCACTTTAGATTGTACAAAGAATGTAATTAATTTACAATTAGAATCTTCAATTAATCTTCGACACGCGCAGCAACGAATTTTATGTCAGGTGTATACCTAACGGTTTAATTATGAATTTCAATCGAGCGAGAGAAGGTAATTACGATGAGACAAAAAGTAGCCTGTATTCGAGCTTAACACCTGGATAATTATAATACACCAGTCCAATCGATATGGTAATTATAACGCGAACAAACAGGAAGATATCAGTTAAGCAGACTGTATTAGATTAATAACAAAAATTATCACATTATTATCAATAGCCACAAATTTTGAGATTTTGAAAATAAATACAATATATTATACACATGATGGATTAATATAGCTTCAAACTATTAAATATGTGTGTAATTATTCAATTTATGTAAAATTTTACGTACGTTTTTTTTTCTCTCTTTAAATGTCTCTGTTTAATTAAAACATTACATTTCTTTTCCGTTTCCTACAATTATATATTTTTTAACAATTTTTGTAAACGATAACATTCTAAAAGAATGCATGAAACATAATAGAATTTGAACACTTGGCGTTTCACCTAATTTAATTGTAAAAGCAAATTTTGTTTGCAAATTCAACTCGAAGAAGAAATCTGTATGTATGCGCTTAAAATTAGTTCTGTTACCTTTCATTATCTCACTGAAAAATTTTATGTAATTTAAAATTAATGAAATCCATTTACTATGCTATAATATGCAATTTCAGAAAATTGCTGAGAAACGATCCGTTTTCTTCAAATCTCGACTTCGACCATAATTATATCGCTTATTATTAGCACGATATAATTGCAACATACTAAATTTTCAATAAACAAAAATTTGATACTAAATTTTTATGAAATTCGAAAGAACCTATTTTACGGTAAAATATTTTCCAAAAATTTTTTCATAGAATTTGAGATTTACAGAATCATCTCTTCTTTTAAGTGATTTGACTGTGTCATGTTGCAAAATTAGGCTTGAAATTGAAAATCAGGAAAACAATTGTAGCTGTAATTATAATAGATTATAACGCACAGCTAATAACATAAACAAAATTATGAAAAATCGTAAAATTATTAATCAGTCAATGATTTGATTAAATCTAAAGCGAAGGAAAATGTTCGTTTCTATCTGCGACATTTCTTCGCGTAGTTGCATGAGCTATCCATGCAACTGGCAGAATGTTGCAATCACGCAAGGGACAAGAGGAACATATCGGGCGAGCCGGAACTGTTGCTAATCGCCGCCGAAATCTCGAATTAATGGCACGAAAGCCGCGCGCGGAATTTGGGATTGGTGGTGCACAGCGCCTAACCCAGCAAAAACGTTCACCGTCTCGTTCACCGTTCGTATACACATCGAAACGATAAATGTTACTGCGCTCTGTTGCATACGCCTCGATACGTTTTATGCAAATATCGCAGCTGCGCTGCTATATAAAGTTATCGGTAAATTCACGCATGTCATTGCGCGAATTACAACGGCATCGGAAGTTTACGACAGTCATCATTAAATTTTATTGGATATGCATCTTACAAAAATGAAAATTTAATGGGCGTGTTAATACTTGTTAAAATATAAATATTGACTTTTGTTTGAAGAAACTCTCGTTAACTAGACCGCTAGATATTTATATGAAATCACCAACATTAATAAAAAAAACTCAAGTTATATTTTATAAATTAACAAAAATTCTATTAAATAATAACAAGGTTGAGTTACATTCAACCTTGTTGTTATTATTTAATAGAAAAACTTTAAGATATAAAATAATATATTAGATAATAATAATTTTATCGCACACCAAATAATTACTTAATTGCACGTATAAGTTTGATATTTTCCAAAGTTGATGCGCCGAATTATATATTAAAAAAAGAAAAAATAAAATATACACGCAGAAAGAAAGGCATCAATAATATTGCAAAATAAAATAGCACATAAAATAAGTAAAGATAAGATATTCATATAATAAATTTATGTGAATCATAAAATAAAATTGTGAAACTCTATTAATCGAGCTGCAACGAGATAAATTTTTGATTATAATGGAAAAAGATAATGTAGAATTTTATGGATTAAAAAAAAGAAAATAGAAATAATAAAATATAAAAATAAAAAAGAGAATAAAATGCTAAATAATCTACTGTGAATATAATGAAGCAAAAAAGAAATATAAGTCCAGATAGTACAGAGAATTCAAAAAGAATTCAGTCGTATGTCATCAATTCTGAGTTCAGTTTTAGATGTAAAAAGAATTCTTTCTGAAGTTTTACGAAAAAAGAATTGCATTTGCGTCTGAAAATGAACTCAGAATTGATGATATACGAAATTCTTTTTGAACTCTCTATATTATCTGTAAGACATGGTTTCAACACTAACATATTTATTTACTTTTAAAATTTATAACTCTTACAATTAATGAAATATTCCGTACAACTCAAAGATAATCTTTTACGAGTTATTAGGCCTAAAAGTTTCTTATTTTTCACCAAGAAACTCGATAGAGAAACCGAAGCGCCATCCCCGTCTATTGATCGGTCACTGACTCCGTTCAACATGGCGGCGGGGGGGGTATTCGCGCTTAGCCTGATTCTCGTTGTCGGACACCTCCAGGAAGGACCAGGATCCCTCGCAAAGACCTTCACATTCCCGGAATATCCGTATAAGGAGACCACTAAGAACGTAAGTTATCCATATAATTCATCAAAGTTCTCTCTGTGAACGATACGTGGTGAACGCTGATACAGGGAGGTTATGAGGAGCAACCCTCATTTAGAGCAATTTTACGATATTATAGGAACATAGCGTTAACGATAAGCCGACTTGGTATATCAATTTTCGAATTAAACAGTTAAGAACGATTCTCGAATTCATCTTTACACATGGATTATTAATTGGCTATAAAAATATCTTCAATCTAACCAGTATGTACATATATATCTATATACAAAATAAATTATATTGGGAAAATTCGAAATAATATGAAAAACTATTATATCTTTATCTCTAAAGAAAAAATTTAAATTTAAAAGCATGATGAGAGAAACATTTGGTAACATTTACGACCAAGAAAATAAAATTGGAATAAGATAGCAGTGGAGGAACCAAACAATCGATCTGACATTAACTCGAGAGAGATTTGGCTAAAGGTCAAAATATACTTAAAAAGTAGCTACATACGAATATGCATTTGGATAATTACACAATTTCGTGATATAATACAGAAATCGAAAAATCCTCTTTTGAACGAAGGATAAATTACAAAAATTATATTTGGATCTTTGTAAAAATATTAGAACAAATACACTACAAGAACGATTTTATCTAAAAATTTATTGGAAATAATTTTGCTGAACTATCAAAATAATTATGTAGGAAATTCAAATGTAAACAATGATGCAAAAAAACTTTTGACATTTTTTTACAACCAGCTTGAATATAATTATTTTACATGATTATTTTGATAGTCCAACAAAATTATTTTCTGTATTTTTAATTTTTAAAACATTTTTCGTGATGTAAAAACATGAATTTAAAAAATTCTTATCTCTCTCTCTCTCCTTTTCTCTTCTCTTTTCTTTTAATTTTACAGACAATCTATTGTTAGCATCTTAAATGCATATCAGAAACGTATCTCTCACAATCATGTCTTCTAGGAAGAAAAATAAAAGAACATTACATATGTATTTTTCTATATTAAGCTCTGTCGGATTCTCTTTCAAAGATATTTCGCCGTAATACTTTTATTTGCGTGGAGAGAGACAGACGCGAAGTTATTCGGAGAGGAAATTAAAGACGTATATACTTGCCATGCTGATAGTCGCATTGGCTCTAATTGGGGTTAATCTTTCGACAGGCACAAATCAATTGTTGCATTCCGCTTTATCCCGCCGCGACGCAGAATGCAAAACATTATTTTATTGACATCACATAAACTAACAGAAAATTTTTCTCGCGTACAAAAATAAACATTAATATTCACGTTCTCGAATTTAATCACAAAATCCATTTGCAACGTTTTATGCAGAATAATCAAAGCATACAATTAATTTCAGCGAAACATGCAAAAGAGACAATTTGAGATTTGTTTTCAGTATTGCTATTAAAATCTTTTTGCATTTAAACTTTTATAACGATGAAGAGATAAAATGTAATGATCAAACCAATATTGTTTTCAACGATCGATTCTGCCGCAGGAGCTTCTCTTCAGACAATTTGAGCAGGCTTGCGAGGAGAGCGGTGCTTGCAAGATGTTATCGCAGCATAGGAGCGACAGCGTCGCCAAAACACGATGCATCCGGGAATGCGTATCGCCATCCTGTTACAAGGAGATCTATTTATTTGATCAGGTACTAGTATATGTGGAATACCAATTCCGTTAATTGCGTTTGGTTACCATGTCGCTTTACGTGCTACACATCTAGTACGTATCCGGTATATACAATTTCACTCATGTGGACTGCACGGTAATGGACGATGAACACATTTCAGTTGGAGGAGGGCGAGATTGACGTGAGATTAAATTCCTTCAAAGGTTGCTTCATGCAGCGAAACGGTCGACCACGGAAGTAAGAAAGAATGCCCACGGAAGAAACGCAGGAAGAACAGATTTCTAATCGCAAGAGATGAACGATTAACGGATGAGCCGTCCTTTGGGAGATACTGCAATTGTGCAACAGAGAACACGCGCTGCGATAATAGTTCGTCGTTCTATCAGAAACGCTTCTTGCTTAGACTTCGCTAGCCTGCAAGGATTAAATTGATGATGTAATACAACTGCTGCATGATATGCATGATGGAAAAGCACAAAAATAAAACGGAAACAGAAACGCATATCATGCACAAAAATAAGTTAAACAATGCATATCGTGCAGTCTTGTGAAAATGAAGCGAATTCTTCAAGGAATTAAATCCGAGAATAATCTTTTTCTACTTTTTGTACACATATTAACTATGACGTTATTGCAATGTTAATGATAATGCTGCACGAAGTAAACGAATAAAACTGTTGGCTGCACCAGTGATTTCAATCACCTTATCGCTTTTATATACTATGCTATATTTAAAAAGAAACATTTTTGCGAATAATATAAGTAATTCAGTATACGATAGCATTCATGTTACTCGAATAACGTAATTTCAGTGTACAGCAAATGAAGGGTGGCACTTAAAACTATTGTACACGCATTTTATCTCTGAAGGAAAAACAACTTAAAAAATGACCAAATTTTTATATAAAGTAAATTATTAAATAGAAAATGTAATATCTTGAAGATAAAACATGTTTTACAACTTCTTCCTTAATATAATAAACTACTTATACTGTGATATAATGTAACATAACTTGTTATTGTTCACTCAAATTGTTATATTATAGTTAAAATAAAAATATAAAAATGTAAGAAATATGAGACGATGTATGTCAATTAATTTTGCAAAACGCGTAATTTGCACCACAATTTCCACAACAATATTTACCGCTCGTTACAAATCCGATAAGCAATTTTTGTTATTAATGATCACAGAATTTTCTTTAAAATAATCCACTTGAGTAGAAAGTGTTTTATGTAGCGATTCCATAAAACATAATTAAAACTTGTTTACGAATTTAATCTTAAAGGATCAATCAATTCACTTTTGTTGCTAATAATAGTTTTCTTATATATATGTATCATACGTTTTATTGTTAAGAAAGGATAAAATATGATTGAATTTAAGTACTCTTTTATTTAAAGAATTATTATTTTAACTACATTAAACGTATACTAGAGAAAAATATTTTTATATTACTATATAAAATTAAGAAGATAGAATCGCAAAGAAACCGGACAGTTATTTGCACGAAAAACAATACGCATTTATTACAACTGTATTTCGAAATGAATAACAAACTTAAGAATCGACGATTAGCTGAGTTTCGGGTAAAAGTACTTTCTCCCCGGGTTTGAAAGCAGGCATTCCAAGATAAGGACAACTGGCACATCTGAATGCATCTCCAAGGTAACACTATATAAACAAATTCATAAAAAATTTTTAATCAAAATTTATATAATTAAATTTATATAATTGTTCCACTAAATATGATATATCCATTGATTTTCGAAAAAAGCAGTAATATAAATATAAAACGTACATTTCCACAAGAAGATTTAACAGTGCATTCCGATGCAGCTTTACCACTTAATTCTTCCGCGAGTCCGCATGAACAATCCTTGCATGCTTTCCTTTTACCCGTTGTTGCACAAACTGAAAGCATTACATGTGTCTAATTTATACAAGCTTGTGAATCCTTTTTATTGTACTTTATTTTTAACATTACAGTAATCTCACCTCTTAAGGATGCTGCATCTGGCTTTACAAGATCTGATTCATCTAAAAGTTCATCTTCATCTATTAAATCTTCGTCTACAGGATCATCCAATTTCCATACATTAGTTTGCTTTTTTGCAAATGAAATGGGAATACTGGAACCCACCTAAATTATTACAAAAAGCTATACACAATCTCTATTATCTTTATTATATAAATAAGAAAAAAAAATTACTTTACCTCAAATGATGGTTTATTCGCAGATACTTTGCAAACGTTTTCTATATTGTTATACACTTTTAACAAAAAGTCTAAGCTCTCCGGATCTGTTTCTAATTTCTTCTGTTCTGTATCTTTTACTTTGAAGCCAGATAATTTTAATCTAGATATTCTTTCAGTATACGTAAGTTCTGTATCTAACTTTCTATCTGCTGATAATCGTTCATAAATAACAAATGAACCATCAGGTTTTAGAATTCTCAATGCTTCTGTTAAGAAATTCTCATCCGTGCATGGTTGTTTAAAAATGGCAATAACTGCATCAAAGGTAGATGCATCATGATTTTCTAAAATCATACAAAATAAATTAATGTTCTTTCCATTATAATCTTACACAACATTATTCTCCAAATTATCCAATTTATCCTTGTTCGATAAATATTAAAGGATAAAATGAGTGCTTTCCATTTAGTGACACAAATAGACACAAGCACCATTTTATCTTTTTCGACATTTAGTGAATAATAATTTTAGGACATCCCTCGAAGAACTATGTTGTATGGGAATATATAAAGACTTTTACAAATAATATATCCTTCAATGCAATAAAAACCTCAGCAAATCAAACAAAAGTACTCACCCTTCTTTATATCTGACAAACTCGTAGTTTGCAATTTACCGGAATCTCCGATACATTTCTTGATCGTAGCAATAAAATATGCCGTGTCATTCGAAGGCACATCGTTTCCTGACACGACAAAAATCTTATTTCCCTCCTTGATGAAAGACGTCATGTTGCGATTATTGTTACTAAAAATAATAATCCTCAAAAAAACTTTTGCGAAAAATTCTGTATCTTGTATCGAATATAATGTAAATAAAACTTAGAATAACTAATTTTTTGAAAAGAGGTTTCCGTAAGTATCCTTATACGAATGTAGCCTTTTAAGTCTGCGTCTGCTTTTGAAGAGGTTACCTTCTTATTATTATTATTATTATTATGCTTAGTTTTCCGATTCAGGAATGAAAAGGGTCACAGTACCATGCGTTGAATTTGAATCTTAAATCCTGTGATGATCTCCGCGGGAGATTAGAGATCTCACAACAGTCACAATACAAGAGGTTATCTTCGTTTCCTTTCAGTGATGTCAAATTTGTTTCGACAAATCGACACGCGCACGCGTATTTCGCTCAAGGCTGCTTCAACGGAAAAAACTTCGCCTGTAATGTGTCGTAAGATTTCTTAATATGATCGACTCATATATTTAGATCCAATGAAAAACTAAAGGCAAGATTAATTACGCTAAAGAATTTTGCAACAGTTGCAAGACTGTTTTTCTTAAATTTAAATGACCATTTAAACACAGTTATAGTCCGTTTCTGTGCTTTTCTTGTGCTCTTTGCATCTTTTATATTTAAGTTTTCTATTTCTTTCTTCATATTTTTATATATTATTTTGTGAATACAAAAAGTCACTAAGAAATGCAAATATAAAGGAGTTATATTAACCGAACAACTTTTTGATGAGAGATAAAATTAAACTAAACAATTTTTTCTTGAACTATAAACGCTTATGTATTTTAAAATACAAACTCGTGAAATTTAGATATGCTGGATACTCTTCAATTTGTGCCATTTAGTGATTAATCATTTTATATAAATATTATTATGTACCTCGAATTACTATTTTTTTTATATTATCATTTTGTCAAGCTATGACATTACAATAATTTTGTGCTTCTCTCTGTACAATTTATTCATATAAAATATATGTACATATAAATAAGTAATTGATTGAATCATATTCCATATTATACATGTAACCGAATAAAATATGTTTATATTACAGGATCACCAAACTTATATAAATACATACAGGTTGCCCCGTGCTAAAATGCCTGTCTTGAATATTTCACTAGTTTCTTACTTTGATAAAGAAAAGATAAGAAAAAGATAGGAAAAACCATTTTCTTATCTGAAATTGTTTCAGATAGAAAAATTGAAAACATGACGAGCGAGAAAAAAATTTCATACAATATCATAAAAAAATCTATTGCCATGTTTCTCTTCTGAAATTATAAAAATTTATATTCGAAATATCTTTTTCTAAAATCAATATATATTTAAAAAAATAATTAAAATATTTAAGATGGACATTAAAAATGAAATAACTTTACATTAATTTGTTTGGGATGTTTACATAGAATCAATCAGCATAATTGCGACAGAATAAACAATTGCAATATTTTCTATTAATAAGATTTATATATTTATAAAAAAAATTAAAAAATAAGATCGCCTAGAAAGTAGGGAGATTTCAAATTCGATAATATTTTGCGTAGTAAGTTCTTTATAGAATTTGGAATGTGCTAGTAGCATTAAATCGACGATCAAACATTAATTTGTAAAGATTATTATTTTAAATGATTAATAAATAAATAAATGATTACGTTGTACGGCTGACAATACGCGGCGCAATCTGAGTGAAATAAATTTATTTAGTATTTAGGAATTTATACAATTATTATTCCAATATCTAGCTTTGACCGTATTTGGCGTATTTGGAATCTTTATATGAAATCTTATATGAATTTGGAACCTTTATACTCATATGATGTATCGGTCGTATTCTTATTTTCTTATCGATTAAAAAAATAATCATTAATTTAATCACACTTAAACATTGGAGATATTCTACTCAGTCGCAATCATTTTAATTGTTTCTATATTCGTATTTCTATACCGCGCCACATACTTTTCATTATACATATGTATCCAATATCTTCAACAACTCACAGGCATTTATAACATCTCATTGTAGAAATGCAAAATTGTATACACATAAAATGTACAAAATATCTTCTCTGGCAGTCGTAGTCATGTTGTACTGTGGGATTTGTTACAAAATATAGGACTCGAATTCGCGAATAATTCAAATTCTCATATTTCGTGTCTACGAAATAAGCGATACGTCAAGTGTGATTTAAAAATCGCAAAACTTAATATCAAAAAATTATTATACCTGACAGAATTAAACCGTATGAAGTTGTAAGAGAGCCGAATTTTGTTAGAAAAATGTATAGACGAATACAAAATAATGCCGATACTACCGCCGCGATTAATACTAATATAGCTTATCCTAAAATTAACATTATCCATCACATGTTACATATTCATTTTGTAGAATATTTCTTCTTCTCGTCACTCTCGAAGCCAGAGTCTAGATCATCACTCTGACACTTTTTCAATGTACAGCTCTTGGAGATTTGCCTGAAATTTTCTCGCTCTACCAATAACTTTTTGATACTATCTATTAAATGTTCAAAAAAATTCGGGTAGCCGTCGTATCCAGGAAACACATTAACATCTATTATGGCGTACTTCCCAGTATGATTTTCAATTACAACATCTATTCCAACTAGAATAAGACCAAATATCTCTCGAATATTCTTAACGATTGTTTCAAATATTTGGTAATTTGGTTTCACAGTTAAAGGAATGTCTTCTTCGGACAATATAGACCATTTAGATCTACTACAGCTTTTCGATATATCGTGCGAGTTGAAGAATATTGTACTCAACGAATTACAGTCTTCTTCGTAAAAATTTTTAAAGCTAGGACGCTCGACCACGTGAAAACGATCGCCCACAACAAATAATTTATATAAAATGGCGTTATGATTAATGAAATCCTGAGCGACACAAGGTAGTTGACAGTCTTTCAAGTCCCTTTCATTAAAGATAATCATCATCTGAAATTAAAAAGAATAAAAAATAATTTTTATATCAAACTCGTGATTTCTTACTTCAGACATTTTTACATCTCATACTTACCTTGTGCGCGTTGCTTGAGCCATATGCAAGAAGCGGCTTACAAACAAATGGATATTTAATACCACGCTTTTTCAACGTTGATGCTATTTCATGGACATTTCTGCTCTTGATTTCTACAAAGTTAGGAGTAAATATATCTGAAAAAATTAAAGCAATGTCAAACATATAATTCAGTTCTTTTGCAGTTATATTTATGTACAAATTATAAATACCTTTAAATCGAATGCCTTCTTGTATAAATTCGTAAGATTTATATCGATTACTTAAGTTCCTAATATTATCCAGAGGATCGATGATGATCAGATCTGGATGTTTGGCAATGTACTCTTGAAGTCGCGAAACAATATCTTCAGCCTATAAAAGATACATTATAGACTCATTGACAACCAAAACAGAATAAATATTGTTTTAAACGTCTTCATACATTTTTATCACCACTCTCTGCGTGTGACTGCATATCTGTCAGCTTGTGTAAGAAAACGTGTAATGGTCCCTGAGTCTCAAAACTTAAATTCATATCGATCTAAAATACAGATAGAAAATTAAAAATATTACAAATATTGCACTTATAAAAATAATGCTGACAAAAATAATGGAATAGGAGAAATCTGAAATGTATATTACAAATCTTACATAGATGAGTGATCCGCATAATCATTTCGACCTAACAAACCCACGGATCCGAGTTAAAAAATACTGTGGACACTCATATACATTTATACATATATATATATATATATATATATATACATTTGTAAATAATAAATCATTGCAATAAAATTGTACAGCAAATAATAAAAATTTGAAAAAGTTAAGCTGTTTGATTTTGTCATGTTATTGAAAATCTAATTGACCTTTGACTCTCTTATTTAACTGATTTGACTCATACTTTGTTATGATAGAGCAAAGATCCTCTCCCTATCTATTG